GTCATACAAAGTCGCAAATGTGTTACGTGAAAGCGTCATTATTATTGGACGTAGTTTTGTTTACGCAGTCACGCAGCACGTCAAAATATCTTCTTTTTTTCGGTTGACCCAAATAAAATTATCTGCGGGATTGTTTCAGCACAGTCGTTTCAGTAATGTTCGAAACATTGTCCTGCAGAGTTGTTTGTTTAAAAGTCAAGTAGATTATTAATGTTAACGGGGTAAAAAATTAATTAATGCCGACTTGCAAATTGTATCGTCTTCGGCATTTCCAGTAAGTCGATACAAAGTCGCCAATGTATAGCGTGAAAGTGTCATTTTTATTGGATATGGTTTTGTTTACACAGTCACGCAGCACGTCAAAATATCTTCTTTTTTTTTGGTTGACCCAAATAAAATCACCGGCTGGATTGTTTCGACACAGTTGTGCCAGTTATGTTCTAAACTTCCTCTTGCAACGTTGTTTGTTTAAAAGTCGGGTGGATTTTTTGTTTTGTTTTAACTGTGGGTAAAAAAACATGACCGTGAAGTGAAGAATGCGCTCTCCACGGCAACAAAACAGCAGGTGGCCTGGTTGCGTCAGATTTCTTGAACGCGCTTGTAGTTTGTTTTAAAATTGGGTCAAGTCTCAGACTAGTACTACCGGTACACCTTTACTCTAATCCCGGAAAACGATATATTTATTCAGTTTTTCAAGTTACCATGTTTGTTTACATTTACGGGGAGCGTGACATAAAACTGTCGTCTCCAAGGCAACAAAACAGCAGGTGGCCTGGTTGCGTCAGATTTCTTGAACACGCTTGTAGTTTGTTTTAAAAGTGGGTCTCAGACTAGTACTACACCTTTACTCTAATCTCTGGAAAACGATATATTTATTCAGTTACCGGTGATACACACTTCAAACCCAGTTTTAAAACGTTGAAAAATTATTCAAACAAATCGACCACTTCGGAAACATATTTTCTACATTTATTCAATCAATTGGCCCACCCCCAAAAATATTTATTTTTACATGGCCGAATTGATTGAGTTTTTACGGTATGATCGATGTACTAAATTTGAATGAAAACTGACAAAGCATGTCCAAAATACGACATTTTCGAAAAACAAGATGGCTGCCAGTCAGCCATCTTTGATCCAATTGTGAAATAAATCGTCATGGACATGTATCCTAACATGTATATTCTATGTACCAAGTTTGGATGACAACTGACAAAGCATGTCCAAAATACAACATTATCGAAAAACAAGATGGCTGCCAGTCGGCCATTTTGAATCGCATCGCTAAACCACTCCATGTGCATATGTACCACATAAATTACTAGGCACATGCAAAGAATGAACGGAATCGGTCCAAGGGATTCTGAGATATGACTCCGGACGGACGCACGGACGGAGACCGAATTATAAGTCCCCGTTTTCGGACTTTGTTCCAATTTTTTGCGGTTTTCACTTGAGTCCTGCCATTTTCAAAGTAATTAGGGTATTTTATTTTGATGACCTGCTATACAAAAGTCGAAATTACGAATTTTCTGAACTGTTTGAAACCGTGAAAGTCAGTAGCTTACACCGGAAATGGCTGACCCGGTTTGTTTTAGATCGCCGTATTTTCGCCCGACTTGTCAAAAATAAAACATCTGTTGTTCAAATTATTACATTTTTTACTTGAGTAGTAAAATTTTTGAAGTAATTAGGGTATTTTAATTTAATGACTTTCTTTACAAAATTCGAAATTCTGAATTTTCGAAACTGTTTGTAAACGTGTGACAATCGTCTGACAACGAAAATGGCTGACCCGATCTTTTTTTGATTGCTTTATTTTCGCCCGATTTCTCAAAAATAAAACATCTATTGTTCAAATTGTTGCATTTGTTACTTGAGTCATGCCATTTTCGAAGTAATTAGGGTATTTTATTTTGATAACTTGCTTTAAAAAAAGTCGAAATTCTGAATTTTCTAAATTATTTGGAAACGTGTGATACTAAGTGGAAAACTCATTAACATAGAATTAGCATATTCATGATTGTCGCTTCAATTATCATGAAAGCAATACATAACGAAGTTGAAATATTCAGAGCCGGTACATTATTGTAAACAAATTTGTGTAATTAGAAAAGCAGTGCACCAAGTAAACGACGTTGATATAAGCCCATACAGAGTTGCATACAAGTTGCGTAATTACAGTACCTTCGGATATAATAAGAATTTTACTAGATCGACGCGCAGGGCACGAAAGAAAAAGGTTGCTAAGGTAACGCGCCAGTTCAGTGTGTGACTTGGGGGTCAAACTGGGTCAACACACACTTGATGTCAGCATCGCCGTGCAGCAAGTTTCGCAAAGAAGTACTTGAAGTTCAATTGCGTCCAAAAATGATGTTGCTGATCACTCAGTTGTCGCAGCGTGTGTTGTGTCATGTCCATGATGCACCCCGTTTCGACTTTGGTTTGCTTTTCCTTCTTAGTGCATGTTCTTGTTCACGTAAAATGCGACCTTTCACCAATGTATTAAAACACTTTGAATTTATACTTTGCATGATTATATTTGGTCAACGCGAAACATTATTTTTTCTAAACATTTTCTGAGACCATTTTTATCAACGCAGGGTTATTTTTCCAGACAAGATGGGCTTCGTAATATCTACCATAACATCGCCCGGGTGATGCCTAGAAAAATAGAACAAGCAGCCTGTCGGCTGAGATAGCTCCGCTGTTAGCAATGCACATTTCAATTAAAGAACAGAAGACATCATTAGAAAATGAACAATATGTATAGTATCAAAGCAATCGGACTTGCAGTTTTTAACAAGAAGTCGAAAATATCACTTTCTACCAAAAATGACAAAAATATTCACCAAAATTAGAGAATTGAAGATATCATCAGGAAATAAACAAATCTGAGAAAGGTCTACATGTAGTATCTATATATGTAATATCAAAGCAAATGAACTTTT